ATGAATGCTAACTTAGCTAGCTTAGCCATTTCATTGAGTTAGCTTAGTTTGTGACTGTTCCTAGACTTTAGCATAATTGATTATTTTATTGTTTTCTACAAGAAATTAGTAAACTGAATGGAAGACACACTTTCCTCCAAAATGCATATTACAGTTTTAAGAAAGACAATTGCTATGGACTGAAAGTTTGCATTTTTCCCCAAAATTCATATGTTGAATCCCTAGTCTCAAGTGTGATGATTTTTGGAGGCAGGACCTTTCAGAGGTAATTAGGTTTGGATGAGGTCATGATGGTGGAGCTCCCATAATAGAATCAGAGCCCTCATGAAAAGACAAAGAGACCAGAGCCCCCCCTCTCTCTCTGCTATGTGAGGATATGGCAAGGCAAGCATCTATTAAGCAGAAAGAGACCTCTCGCCAGGAAGCAAATATGTAGGCACCTTGATCTTGGACTTTCCACCCTCCAGAGCCGTGGAAAATAAATGTTCATTGTTTATACCTCCTAGTCTATGACATTTTGTATAGGAACCCAAATTTCTAATATACCAATCTATCTAGCAACTCAAACAATGTGAAATTACCTACTATTCTCTGCAAAAAGCAGTTCAGATGATCATGAAGGAAAAATGTGTTCTCATTTGCTGTACTTGTAAGTATTGAGGCAATTTAGCGGCCAGTAATGACATATCTTGACTAGTGAATGAGTGCCTTTATGAATATTCCCATAATAGACCACCACAACCATTTAGGTGTGTGGGTTAATTATTACAACAAATTAGTGTCTCTACTATTTCTTGAGATTCTGCTATGTGCCTCGTTGTATTCCAGGTGGTAGAACTTTATGAATTCATTTCATTTTAGAAATTAGATTATAAGGCATGAAACAAAAATGAAATAAGAAATAAATAATAGACTGCTAAATGTGTAATGAAAGGCAACAGTAAATTTTGTGAAGAAAAATAATAGAAGTATGGACACAGACATACCAGCCATGGCTTGTGTCCTTCATGTGTGGGCTGAAAGTAGGGGAGAGATGCTGCAGGGCCCACAGAATGTGGCTCAGAAGAGCCTGAAGAAGTGACATTTGAGAATAATACTTAATGATCCTGTGAAAGAAAGAATAAAAGTGCACATATGTCCCTGGGGCAGAAGTGAGCTCCATGTGAGCTCCATGTGCCTGGGGAATAGGAGAGGCAGCCAAAGGTACAGCTGAGGTCAAATCAAGAAAGACTTTGTAGAATGTGATTTTAACACATAGGATGTTTAAATGTAATTTTTTACAGGGAAAAGGCCAAGAATGTGATTTTGGAATATGCTGGTGGGAGATGGTGATGATTTGGAGTTAGGGTACTGCAGAAGAGGCAATGAGAACTAGCTGAATCCAGGCTGTACACTGAAAGCAGGACCTGTGTAATTTTCTAGATAAAGAATTATGTCATCTGTAAACAGGGATAGTTTGACTTCCTCTCTTCCTATTTTGATATCTTTTATTTCTTTTTCTTGACTGATTGCTCTGTCTAGGACTTCCAGTACTATGTTAAATTGGAGTGGTGAGAGAGGGCATTTTTATGTTGTGCTGATTTTCAAGGGGAATGCTTCCAGCTTTACCCATTGAGTATGATGCTGTCTGTGATTTGTCATATACGGCTCTTATTATTTTGAAATTGTTCCTTTGATGAAGGGACATTAAATTTTATCAAATGCTTTTTTTTTTTTTTGCATCTATTGAGATAATTACTAGTTCTGTTTATGTGATGACTCACACCTTTTCATTTGCATATGTTGAACCAATCTTGTGTCTCAGGAATAAAGCTTGGTCTATGTTCATCAAGGTAATTGGCCTGAAGTTTTATTTTTTTGAGTGATTGTACAATTTTGAGTGATTTTCTTAGTATTGATTTCTATTTTTATTGCACTGTGGTGAAGTGGTGTGGTTGGTATAATTTTTTTTTGAACTTGCTGAGTATTGTTTTGTGTCTGATCATGTGGTCAGTTTTGGAGCGTGTGCCATGTGGCAATGAGAAGAATCTACATGTTACTGTTTTCAGGTGGAGAATTCTGTAGATGCCTGTTAGGTCTATTTGGTCAAGTGTTGAATTCAGGTCCTGTATATCTTCATTAATTTTCTGCCTCAGTGATCTGCCTCATACTGCCAGTAGGGTATTAAAGTCTCTAAGAACTTGCTTTGTGAATCTGGGTGCTCCTTTGTTGGGTACATATATGTTTAGGACAGTTAGGTCTTCTTGTTGAATTGAACCTTTTACCATTATATAATGCCCTTCTTTATCTTTTTGCATCTTTGTTTGTTTAAAGTCCATTTTGTCTGAAATTAAAATTACAAATCCTGGTTTGTTTTTCTTTTTTTCCTGTTTGCTGTTTGCTTAGCAGATTTTTCTCCATCCCTTTATTTTGAGTCTGTGGATGTCACTGCATGTGAGATGGGTCTCTTGAAGACAGCATACAATTGAGTCTTGCTTGTTTATTCAGCTTACCACTCTGTGTCTTTTATTTAGAGCGTCTAGCACATTTCCATTCAAGGGTAATCTTGATATGTGCTGACATGATCTGTCATCACGTTGTTAGCTGGTTATTGTGCAGACTTGTTTTTGTGATTGCTTTATTGTACCACTGGCCTGTGTGTACTTAAGTGTATTTTTGCAGTGGTAACAGATTTTCCTTTCCATATTCAGTGCTCCTTTCAGAACCTCTTCTAATTCAGGACTGGTGGTAACAAATTTCAAGTCATAGGATTTGGGTAAACATTTGAAAGTATTTTCTCTATCTAACGACAAATAATACTACATGATAGAGTGTATGACCTGGACAAATTATTATTTCACCACTCGCTCTCACTAAAATACATATAATGTCTTTAAGAGGGTGTGACAGTTTTGGTTAATGAAACCACAATAAATGTATTGATGATGCTATAAAATATTTATTACTTAAGTATTAACTATATGATAGCTTTAGATAATATCATTGTGCATAGAAGAAAGTACAGAAAAAGGCAGCGAATAATCAGTTACTTGAGCTGCAGGCTTTGTCTTCTGCCGTTAGCAGCCACACATCATTGCCATCCATCTAAACACATACATCCCCTTACATCATCAATTCACTCATGTGAGCATTGTATACACCAGGACAATACTCTGTTCTGTTCTGATTTCCGCCAACTCATAAAAAGTAATTTACTGGTTCTTTTTCTCCTCCAGCTCAATCATGTCATTCATATCATTTTCTAATTGTTTCATGCGGGTCTTGGGAGCTGCATATTAGCCAAAATATTTCTGTTAACTAGCCAAAAAATGTGGCCCTTTAAAAATTTCAGGGTAAGTACCCTTTTTGGGGTTCGTACAGAGAGAACAGGCAGGGAAATGGCCCCTTGGCTGGAAGAAGGGGAAAGAATTGAGTACACGACATAAAAGTCATTATTCCCTTGCTGTAGAGTGTACAGAGAGAAAGTAAGGCCAAAGAATTACTAAAAAGGAATTTCCTGCTTCAGTGACCCTGTTAGATACCTGTTAAGACCTTTAGCTTCCTCTAACATTTCCAACTAACCCTCAACAACAAAAAAGAGAAACCTAAGAAACGGTGGGAATTATGTTAGAACTAGGCATTTTTGTCTTCAATGTCACTGTGGCTGTTATTCCCTGGCAGCTTAATTTTAACTAATTAGAATCTAGTTAAATAGAGAGACAGCATTAAAACCTTCTGCTTATTTTTCCTTCCTTGATGGTCACAGTTGGTGTTTATATCTTCTCAGAGAAAAGGAAGTTTGAATTCTACAATCACTTGGAATTTTACTTCGATTTGTTTATTTTTGCTTCCAAATAATTTACACAGATTTTGACATTATGCTGTGGACTCTGCAAACCTCTGTCATTGCTCACTGCCAGGTCAGTCACTGAATCCACTCAAGGCAGGATAAAACCCATCCATTACTCTGGTAGCTCTAATTGCAGGATAGCCAGAGGGTATCCATTTGGTCTATAATGAGGTCATTTCTCTCTCAGCCCCTGCAAGTGTGTATAATTATAAATTAATTTAAAATCCCACTGTGAGAAAAGAAATTTGCTACAATACAAAAGGAAAGGCAAAAGCTGCAGGAAGTATGTCTTTAAAAGCATTTTTTGGTGTTTTCTTCAAAATTGATCCTTGAAATTAAGTTTTTCATTCTACTCTTCATTGTCCTAGCTAGGAGCTTTACCATTGCACATTTAAATTTTGGTTTGTTTCAAAGTTACACCACAGTCTTAAGGTATTCATGTGTCCTGCAGAATTTATAGTAGAAGTTCAAAACTATTCTTTGGGGAAGTAAAACCCATTGAGAGGCTGGCCTTTGAATGATGCTTCAAGGTGTGGTACTGTGCAGGTACTGACAGGATGACTTGTTATGTTCCACATTTTTCATTCTCTAAAGGTGCCACACTTGGGCTCTTTTAACACTTGCCTTTCTGTTTTCACAATAAAAAATATTATGTGTTATACCAGGTGAGTAACACATTAAAAAGAAAACAAAACAAAACCCGGCTCACTGTAGATCCTCCAGGAGTTGTTCTTTTCATCTGCTTGGCTGAGCTGCCATCCCATTTTACTGCCATTATTGCAAACTCGAGTTAAATGTATTGCCCTGTGCATTTTTGGAGAGATGCTGCAGGTGAAAACACGCATGTCTGACAGCAGATTAATCTTGACCAAGCTTTTGAGGCAATGTTTTGACTTGCTAGACTTCCCATTTCTGTCGGGGAATCAACCTCTTTTGTGAACTCGGGCAAAACGTGCCAGGTGATGCCTGAGTAAAAGCACATAAAACTTAAACTCCCTGTGTGAGCTTCTTACTTCCTAAAATCGGAAGAAATGAGAGAGACATACACAGATGAAGAAAGATATTTCGCCATCAGATAAAGAGGAGGTGCTGTATTTGAGTCATTTCTCTAAGAGTATGTTGAGGCATTCATTATGATTCCTACAGAAATGTGAAAATTATTTTTTTTCAAAAAGTTAGGTTATTTTGTCATTTCACAAAGACCCTTCCTAGCTTCTGACATTCCGCTTGGAGGATAACACCAGGAACATGCCACACTTCTAAATTCTTTGTGTTTACCCTCTGAGGTGGTGCCATTATGATTCCTTTTTACAGATGAGTAAAGTGAGACCCGAGAGGTTAAGCAACATGTGTGAGGCCTGCCCAAGAGGTAATTGGAGTTCAGTACTCGTGATGTGGGAGTGCTGCTCTCAAGGCAGTGTTATATTGGGGAAAAAGGAGTAATGGAAGGCCAGGTGGCTGCCACACTTTGTCAGCCTGGGAACTGACAGGGCAGGAAAGGCCTTGAGTAATATTCTGTATGAGCTCACCAACTACTCTCTAGACTGGGTTTAGCAGTATGTTCTTAGAGCTGGTGGTGAATGTGCTTTAGTTTTCCATTCAAAAGGATATCTGTAGCTACGGAATCTTTAAAGATATTTTATACTACCAGGAAATGTCATTGCTAAATGCTGAAGAATTAACTTCTGATCAAAGTCTAGTCTTTAATTTGTGTTTATTTGGCAACGAAATGAAAGTGAAAAAGGTAATGTTATTGAAATCACTCCCATCATTAAAGGCTTTAAATTATTAGCAAGATAGCCTTTCATGAAAATAAGTGATAAAGAGAATTTTAACAAACACAGAGAGGAAAAAATCCGTACAACACCAAATTTTGGAAAAAAAATACATAGCCTTCAATTTTCCACTTTCAAAAAACCATAATTCCCACTTCTATTGTTTAAACCTTTAAAGACATTTAGATTTCATTCATAAATAACACTGAATCTTATATTTTATGAGAAACAAATCTAATGTAGTTTCTTCAAATCACTAACAATCGGGGTTGGCAAATTTCTTATGTAAAGGACAAGATGGCAAATATTTTAGGCTTTGTGGGTAACACAGTCTCTGTCAAACCTTCCCTATCATTGCAGCTCAAAAGCTGTCACTGGTGATATGTTAATAAATGAATGTAGTTGTGTTCCAATAAAACTTTATTTATAAAAACAACTGGTAGGGAAGATCAGGCAGCCAGAATACAGATTACCAGCCTTGGCTTTACGCCATAGAAAAGTCAGGTGCATGTTTTTTACCTCCTTCTAGAAAATAAGAATCTATTTAAAAATCAAATTATTTCTTCAATATAATAATAACCAATAAGATGATTTCTAATAATAACGTCAAGATTTTATCCAATGGCATAGCAAAAGTTCTACAAATTCCCTCTAATTCCAATGTAATTAACATGAATTGTATTTCTCTGTTTTAAATATATGTATATATACTCAGATACAACCAAAGTTTCAGAAAACTGAAGGATACTTTCTAGTCGTCCACACAACTGTGAGATCTGAATAATTCTAGATGCTACATTTGACTTCTTAAATGCTTTTATCACTGTGGCCGGTGAACATATGGACCATCACAGGGCAAGACAAAAATCACACCCATCTTACAGTAAAGTAAGCTATTAAGAAAATCATAAGAAAGAGAAAACGTAGTTACTATTAAGCAGGTGGAAGTGGATCATTATAAAGATCTTCATCCTCATCGTCTTCACCTTGAGTAGGAGAAAGAAGAGGAGCGGTTGGTCTTGCTGTCTCCTGTTGGCAGAAGCAGAAGACAGTCTGCATATGTGAACCTGTGCAGTTCAACTTTGTGTTGTTCAAGGGTCAACTATAATTTTAGGTGACTTTAACTTTGGTTATTATGTATTTATTCAAAATAAATTACTTAACCAAATAAATTAATTAACTGGTCGAGTCTCTCATTTAAAAATAAAATCACAGACAGCTCCATGCGTGGCATCCAGCACTTCCTTTTCATCTTCCTGCTCCCTCCCTCGTGAAAATAGACTCACAGTTAGTATCCAAGCCAAGTTGAAGGACACACCAAACTAAACAGCCTAAAACGCATCTCATTAAATTATGTCCAGGGAAAGAATGAAGAGGAATGAGATGGTGAAAGTGTCTGGCTCGAGTGCGCATGCTCATTTGTCTGTAGCTAGCTTCAGGCTTGGGACACCCAGGTTTCCTGTCCGCCAAGAATAATTAAGAATTTAATGACTTCTTAATGAACGAAAAGTTTGGAGAGTCCTGAACAAATTTATGAGACATGTCACTGCTTTATGTCTAAGATAAATCCTACTAGTAAGTAAAATTCTCTCAGACAACTGGAAAAATCCACTAATGGCTATCAAAAAAATAAACAGTCACAATGAAATATCCTGTTTAGAATCACTGACTGAAGTGCTTCAGTTCTCTTTTAACTAAATGGATTCCTAAAATAAGTATTTCCGAGCGTGAACTATTCCAAGTATATAAATGTACCTAATGACTATGAACAAATTAGTTCTAAAAATGGTTAATTGACCTTTGAATCATGATTTTTTTCCTCTTTTCTACCAAGCAGATAGAATACCATTTTTCTAATGCCACCTCAGAAACTGTCTATTCATCTCAAATCATATCACAGGATTTTGGGGAAAAAAAAAAAAAAAAACACTAGATTTTTCATAACCAGTAAAGGCACTGAAAATAATGTAAAAGTAAGCCTAAATCTATGACAGCTCCAACGTGGATGGGACTTACGCCCTCCTATCGTTTGTGACGGTCAACAGTGTATGTGCACTCAGATTCAGGGCAGTTGTCTCTGGAGGATTATGACAAGAGCTTTGCTGCTAACACGGAAGTCTGCTCTTCCCGTCTTTTCTCTCTGCCCAGCTAGATCCAAGCCACAGCAGCTCAAGAGAACCCAACAGGCTTGGAACTCTATAAATGGAGCAGGACACTCCTTATTCTATTGTGAGTAAAAACGATGTCTGGTGCAGGTCAGAATTCTTAGCTGGGCAGCTCAGCAGAGCCAACATGAAGCAGGGAGAGAGGATTTTAGAGCAAATGGCTAATTACTTAGGGTCCTGGCTCAATTTCCTACTAGATTTACTGCTAATTAATGTTCTCTTCTTCATTTTTACAGATCTAGTTGGTAAACTGGGGACTGTGAGTCACTTTCTGCTTTTCCTTCTGTAACTGTCACCAATTTTTGCTGCTCCATTAGCAAATTGCCCTCCTGAGAAACCCTTTTCTGGAGGTTGGCTGCCTGGGCCATCTCGGTAGTCTTGACCTCGGGGATGACCTTTTGCAAAAGGACTCAGGGCAATAAGCTGTGATCAGTTAAAAACAACAAAATGGGGCTGTAGTGATGGATAAGGTTTCTTTTCTACTTGTTCCCTCTGTCTCCCTTATAAGGAAAGAATATTATTTTTCATGACTCTGTTACTTTTTTTTTCTGTTTCCTGAGCAGTTCATGTCAACAACGCATATTTCTAGGAAAGTGCTCGTCAGGGAAGTAAACGCTTGTGAATTTGAAAATAATAACCTCACAGAGGGCTCATAGACAGCACTGAATGATGAGAGGGAGAGAGAAGAAAATTTTAAATACAATTATTTAGATGTTATGAAGGTTTATAAAGATATCTTATCTTAAGCAACTATTAACTCCCTTGAATAGATAAGAAAATGATGGAGGCTTATTTCCAGGCATTATTTAATACTTCTAGAGAATTGAATTGCTCTTTATGAAAATAATCATAACTGCGATACAAGTTTATCATGCCAGAATTACAGCAAAGTAAACTTGTATCACAGTAGCACCCCTGAGCAGTTTTTAAACATAAACTAAAGAGAGGCTTATTGACCGGTTTGTTTCAAAAATGCATTTGTATGGTGTGTGCGATGTGTTTCCTCTCTGACCCTGCACAACATAAAACTCTCCTCTTAGCCTTGTTGTGAACCGAATGTAATGAGTGCTCAGACATATGAGCTTTTCAACTGAAATAACATGGTTTTGAATCCAAGCTGTATTAAATTTACTTTCTAGAGCCAAGTCTATGAGCCAATGCTGTCAGTTATGAATCCTGGATTAGAAGAAGTTGGAAAGTGGAGCAAGAAATTAATTAAAATAAGGCTGCAAAAATACAGAGGGGAAAACAAAAAAATGTTATTAAAATACTAAGTCTTAAATACTGCCTATGGAAACATAGGCTCCTTCCCTCCCCTCCTCTCCCCTCCCCTCCTCTCCCTTGCCCTCCCCTTCCCTCCCCACCCCACCCGCACTTCCCCTCCTCTCCTCTCCTCTCCTCCTGTCTGTCTGGTTTTACTCACATTATAGAGGGCTCACCCTGGGCTCTATGGACTGCCCAGGGTGAGCCTTCTATAATGTGAATAAAACCACACACACAGGATGGTACCATGCAGATCGTGGATTTTCTCATCCAGCTCATGGGACCAGGTGAGTGACTGAAGACCTGCTACTCTGCCTAAAAAATCAAAGTCCAGTGGTAGTAGGGTACATTATCGTGGGTTTGCCACAAGTCACTTATTTGGGCTGGTTTAAATAAATAAACCAAACTTCAGCTACCTTAAATAAATAAACCCAGCTTCCTGGATTAAATATTTTTGTTTTTGTTTTGTTTTCTTTTGTTTCACCATGAATGTATTGCTCCTGGGATCCTTAATGCAGACTTCAGAAGGACATGGACATCTTTGGAGAAAAGAGTGTGTAAAATTTGCAGGTTTAGGGGGCATTAATATATGAATATTAATGGCACAGCTACAATTAAGACAACAGTGGAAGGTGGCTCAAAAAACAGAAGGAGACTCTGTTTAGGAGAAAGAAAGGAAAGAGAACAAAAGTCTCTTCCTGGTAATCCAGAGAATTCTCCTGGATCTTGTCCAAGACCATCAAAGTGGTACTTCTATGAGTCTGCAAGAACCACAGCATTACTAGGCTTGGATATCTCCTAAAGTAGACACAGCTTAGATCACAACACCCGAGTTCTTTCAAATATCTGGAAAGCCTTCTAAAGAGGGACATACAAATAAGCCCAGACAGTGAAGATGACAATAAACACCTAATTCTTCAATGCCCACACACCAAAGAACATAAATTAGGATCAACACCATCCAGGAAAACATGACCTCACCAAATGAATTAAATAAGGCACAAGGGACCAATCCTGGAGAAACAGAGATATGTGACCTTTTAGACAGAGAATTTAAAATAGGTGTGTTGAGGAAACTCAAATCAACTCAAGATAACACAGAGAAGGAATTCAGAATTCCATCAGACACATTTAACAAAGAGAGTAAAATAATTTTAAAAGAACCAATCAGAAATTCTGGAGCTGAGAATGTAATTGGCTTATTGAAGAATGCATCAGAGCCCTTTAATAGCAGAATTGATTAAGCAGAAGAAAAAAAATGAGTGAGCTTGAAGACAGTCTATTTGAAGATACACAGTCAGAGGAAATAAAAGAAAAAAAATGAAGCCCACCTACAGGATCTAGAAATTAGCCTAAAATGGCAAATCTGAGAGTTACTGGCCTTACAGAAGAGGTAGATAAAAAGATATGAGTAGAAAGTTTATTCAAAGGAATAATAATGAGAACTTCCCAGACCTAGAGAAAAAATATCAATATCCAAGTACAAGAAGGTTATATAAAGTCGAACAGATTTAATCCAAAGAAGACTACTTCAAAGAATTTAATAATCAAACTCCCAGAGGTCAAGGATAAAGAAAAGAGAAAATAAACAAATAATGAAGCTCCCATATGTCTGGCAGCAGGCTTTTCAGTGGAAACCTTATGGACCAGGAGAGAGTGGCATGACATGTTTAAAGTGCTGAAGGAAAAAAAAAAAGGAAAAAGAGAACACTTTTACCCTGGAATAGAACATCCAGTGATAATATCCTTCAAACATGAAGGGGAAATAAAGACTTTCCCAGACAAAAGTTGAGGGATTTCATCAACATCAGACCTGTCCTACAAGAAATGCTAAAGGGAGTACTTCGACAAGAAAGAAGAGAACATTAATGAGCAATACACAATTGCCTGAAGGTATAAAACATGGTGGTAATAGTAAGTACATGATAATCACAGAATATTATAGCACTGCAACTGTAGTATGCAAACTACTCTTATCCTAAGTAGAAAGATGAAAAAGAACAAACAATGAAGCAATAAAAAATAATAACTTCAAAACTTTTCAAGACATAGTCAGTACAATGGGATGTAACAAAGAAAGTTAAAAAAAAAAAAGTTGAAAAGCCAAGGGATGAAGATAAGTCATAGAATTTTTATTAGTTTTCCTTCGACTTGTTTGTGTGTGTATCTGAACAGTGTTAAGTTGTTATCAGCTGAAAATAATTGGTTATAAGATAGTATTTGCGAGCTTCATGGTACCCTCAAACCAAAAAACATACAATGGAGACATAAAAAATAAAAAGGAAGAAACTAAATCATATTACCAGAGAAGTCATCTTCACTTCAGGAAAACAGGAAGGAAAAAAAGAAGAAAGACAAGACCAAAAAACAACCAGAAAACAAATAACAAAATGGCAGAAGCAAGTCTTTACTTATCAATAAGAACATGAATATAATTGGACAAAACTTAGACAGAGAGTGGTTGAATGGATGAAAAAATAAGCCCCATTGATCTGTTGCCTACAGGAAGCACTCTTCACCCATAAAGATACACATAGACTAAAAATAATGGATGGAAAAAGATATTCCATGTTAACAGAAACCAAAAAAGAGCAGGAGTCT